TGCTTGCCCTTTAGAGAGCACTAGATTTCTTTTCTAAATCCTTTTCCTTTCATCCAAGATCTTCAAACCACACAATTGTAGGGGGTCTCCTTTCCTAGTAAAATGTGATATCCTAACATTTAAAGTACACATTAAAACTGATGTGTATGAGTGTTCCAGACTGAATTCACAAACTGGAGATACGTTTGCTGCAGAAGTAGGAAAAAGCAGGAGGAGGAGAGCACAGAAATAAAAGAGTTGCTATGCCAACCTACAAATGCTAATGGCATGACAAATACAAAAAGGTCACAGAGAAAACAAGAGAAAAAAGGAAGAGAAAATCCAGATCAAAAAGTGCATGCATTTCATACAAAAATATGTATTTAAATTCCTTCAAAACTGTGTTTTAAAAAGAAAAACAATGTACCACAGCAGTACACTTAAAATCACATCGCCTTTTCCTTTTGATTTATTTCTAAAATGCTTTATTATCTATATCCTAAAGACTGTGTTCAAAAAATAAATAAATGAAAAAAAATCAGATTTTCCAGAAAGAATACTTGAATATCAAGGCCAACATTTTAACACAAAATAACAAAAAAGTATAATAAAGCAAATAAGTGCATTAGAACTAGTTCTGTGGTAATCAGGCCATGAAACAACAGATACCTTTTTGAGATAGAATTTTGTAACAACCTCAAATATACATCATAAAATGGCTTGGGTGAGAAGGAACATTAAAGACCACCTAGTTCTAACCCCATGAAGTGGACAAGATTGTCACCAACCAACTCTGGCTGCGTTGAGCACCTCCAGGGATGGGGCACCCACAGCTTTTTTGGGCAGCCTGTGTCACTGCCTTACTATTTCCCTCTAAATTCTAACCTACATCTCCCCTCTTTCAGTTTAAAGCCATTCCCCCTTGTCCTATCAGTATTAGTCTATGCAAAAAGTTGGTTTCTCTCCTGATTATAAGCTCCTTTTAAGTACTGGAAGGCAGCAATGGGGTCCTCCCAGGACCCCATTCATCAGGCTGAAGAAGTCCAGTTCCCTCACATCTTTGTATGAGAGGTACTCCAGCCCTCTGATCACCTTTGTGGCCCTTCTCTAACCTGCTCTAACAGCTCCACATCTTTCCTGTGCTGGGGGCTCCAGGCCTGGATGCACTCCAAAAAGGGTCTCATGAGAGTAGAGGGGGACAATCACTTCTCTCTCCCTGCAGGTCATGCCTTTTTTGATGCAGCCTGAGGTGCAGTTCAGGGCTTCAAGAGTACACTGCTGGCTCTTAAATGTAAGTAGAAATACAGTTGTTTATATAAAAACTCCTGCAATAGAGTAAAAATAAATTGCCCTATTGCCCTTTAATGTCTGTAAGTTCCTTTAGTGTAGAGTCAAACAAACATAGCCTTCCTCTTTTCAGCTGCCTGTGGGGACAGGACAAGGGGAAAAAGCCATAAACTGGAGCATAGGAAATTCTGCATCAATATTCGAAGGAACTTCTTCAGTAAGCGTGACAGAGCACTGGAATAGGCTGCCCGGGCAGGTTGTGGGTTCTCCTTCTCTGGAGATATTCAAGACCCACCTCAATGCCTACCTGCATAGCCTGCTGCAGGGGACCTGGGCTAGATGATCTCTGGAGGTCCCTGCCAGCCCCAACAGTTCTGTGATTCTGTGATAACAGAAGACAAACCCACCAAAAATACATCTTTCTCACTTGAAATATGGTTACACAATCTGTTTGAAATAAAATATCATTTAAAATTATTTTTCTTTGTCTTTTTAGTACTCCAAAGGACAATACTAATAGCATGCCAATGACTTTTCCTGAGTCAAATTCATTTCTTCACCACAGCAAAGGCAACAATACTGGGATTGCACACTGACTACCTTCAGACATTAGAACATCCTTAGAAAGCCCATGGGGTAAGAGAGGAGGGCAAGCTCACGACTTACACAAAAGATATTCAAATTGCCCTAACCTATTTATCTTCTTTTTTATTCAAGTAGACAACAAGGAGAATACAGAAAACAGAAATTTTATAGTATAACCTGAGTTTTTTTTAGCACAGAATTGCAGATCCAAGAAGTAATTTTGCGTAAGCTTTGGCAAAACATCCAAAGAGAAATGAACCTTTTGAAGTTAGCCCACTGCTAATTAAAGAACTGCCAAGGCTTCACTAACAATTAAAAACTTGTCTTTAAAATCCCCAATGATAAAAAAAATGCAAACAGCTGTTTTAATTAGCAAACAGCAGATATTAATTAGCTTCTGTAACAGAGTATGCTGGTCCTTTAAGGACAGAACCAGTTTCAGACCAAGCTTGTTACCCATTTAAACAATAAATAGAAGATTTGGATTCATACACTGCAGAAAAAAAAAAAAGCTTCTCATTTCTTGTGAAAGCAATATCCTCACTTCAAGTACACAAAAATGAAATTTTTACTTCAAGTAAGTTTTTGAACATACTCATTTCCTGATCTTTCAAGAACTGATGAAGACACATACAGACATTTAATCAGGGCCTCAGGGTAGCAAAAGCTGTTCCTGGCTGTCTGTGCACAAGGAACCAAGCAGCAACAGTAATTTTCCATAATCATTTTTACTGGTAAGCTGGTGGGATGGAGGAGAATAGTGTCAGATGAAAACAAACATCAGAGATGCTGAAAAGAGAAAAATCAGTCTCTTAAACTCCTCCTGACAATGAGAAAACAAGCTGAAGGAACCAGATTATTAACAGAAAACAATTGGTCTTTGGAATATGGAAGGAAGGGAGAGGCTTTTCCCTGGAAGAAAGCAGGAATATAGAAACAAGGAAGTGTTTCCATTTACTTGAAAGCAAATGAACTACAAATGCTTTCTCAGAAAGATGAAAATTGAAGGTACATAGCTCTGAAGCTTAGGAGAAACATCCCTATTACATACTTGAAATACAGTGCTGACTCCCTGAATTGCTAGACTGAACATTTCTTTTCCTTGAATGTTATTTTGAAGTCATATTCCAAACTGCTGATTTTTAAAAATTGTCATGCTTTTATATTCATACTTAGGCAAAGTTTCAAGCTCTGTGGGTTTTCCAACTCCGCAACATTTGAGAAAACTAGATTTGCTACCTGAATGAAAAAGCTGAAATGTAACTTAATGCAAAATTTGTTATTTTTTGTTAATTAGACTCTTATTTACTTGAAAAGTTCGAGTCTTTTTCACCCAGCATATTATTTAAAAAGTGAAAAAATCACAGCAGGAGTAAGATGGAGAATCACTGCCCCTACAAAACACTATGTATCACAGAAACAATTAATTTGTTGGATTCTGATCAGTGAAAGGCATTTTGAATAAAAACAAATGTTAATTTGTAAATGTAAGGAGGAGAACAGTAAAACTTTATCATAAAATATGGAGATAGCTATCACTGCACTGCAAAGCAAAACTTTGAATTTTTCTCTGTAATCTGAGATCGATTCACACCTAAATACAAATAAACCTAGCTAACCAGGGATCCATATCCCTATTTTCATTTATTTTTTTCATTACATATTTTAATAACTTAGCTATGCCTGCTAAGTGGTTTCTGAATAAATTTTTGTCTTCATAGTATTTCAGCTTGTCAAAAACACTGCAAGAACATCATATCCCTTTCCCTTTGCCATGACTACTTTGAAGTGGTACAGGAAAAAAAAACAACACACATACAATGTACCACATAAGGCTCTTTAGAGTAAAAGTATCAACATCATAGAGGTTAAGTGATGTTAACTGATATCGGGATGTAACTTCAACTGTATGCATGCTTTATTTGTGATGTTTATTGCTTTCTCTTCAAGTTAATATTACTTTAACTACCAGTCAAGCTGTTAGACAGAAGTACTATTTTTTCGGCACGACAGAACACGTCACAGCAGAACTGCTGTTACAATAATTCAGTCTGTTCCATTTATTAAAGTATTTACTGCACATTTGGATTCAGGTTTTATCATCTATTTTACTAGCGATGATAGCATGCACAAAATTCAAATATTTTTTCTGTTGCTGTGTTGTTTCTCCCAGCTTAAAATGCAAATGAGACATTTGGTTGAGACACTCCTGTTTTTCCAGTGAACAAAAGATGTGGCACTGATCAAGCATTGTTTTTTGGGGGCTCCACTCTGTACACGCAGTGTTCAAAAGGGTTCAGTGAAATAAAGATATTTCTGAGGGTGAATCTTCTCTGAAAATGCTTTTCAATGACATTTGATTTCCTGAGGTGACCAGACTTAATTGGCTTCAAGCCCAACTAGGATCTTGTCCTTTACCAACTCTTCTGATATCACAGAAACAATCCTGAATTTTTACTTCAAAATGAAATTATATCAATTAAAACAATTATTTTTCTATTCCCCAGTGATAATACCCTTTATCCAAAAAGGCTTATAAAACCTCCACAGTCAAGCTATACAAATGCAGTCCTGTTAAAAATCTTGTGATTATGAACAAAGTGATTATGATAAAATCAAGCACTACAGAGAGGCACCTAACAATTCTGAATCCACTCCAGTTCTCACAGAGTTATTGCCATTTGGATTAAAATGAAGGAGTCGCATCAAGTTTTTAGATAGGTCAATATTTCAATTTGGAAAAAAAAAAAAAAAAAGACAGAAATATGATATAAAATATTATAAAGTACCAATGCAAGGTTATAGTAAGAGGCCACTGAGTTGCACTTGATTAAATAAAAATGAGAATAAAAAACTAAAGGTGATTTTTAAATTATTATTATTCTAAGATTTCCAGGTTTCATTTGAGTAGCTTTCCAAAATTCCAATAATTTTTTTACTTAAATTACAGTACATATCTCCAGTAGCTACTATTTCTATATGCCAGAATCATGCCTAATTCAATAGCTCCCACATATTATATTTCACAGCAACTGCAAACTTATCCTGCTGCACACCAGTTGCATTCCTTCCAAAGATTTCACCATTTATGAAAAAAAACAAAAAACAAAAAACAAAACCAACAAACAGTGTTAAGAGATCGTACTTACGAGTACTTAGTCAGCAGGTCCAAATCATTATGCATGTTGATTGGATATGTCTCACTGAGATGAAATAGCTTCTCTAAGGCCTCATAAATGAAAATTATGCAGATAAGAGAAGCAAAAGCTTCTTCAGTAAACCGGGTAATGTAACAGACCAGGGAGCTTGCATCAGTTGCAACAAGGATGATGCACAGGATTGCAGTCCACAGACCAATGCTAGCTCTCAGGGAAAGGTATGATAACCCATACTCTCTAAAGAAAAAATAAATAAACAACACGGTTAATCATTTGTCCAGTTTCCTAGATGAAGAAGCGACTCCAAAATATGCTTAGTATAAGAATGAGCAATTTTGGGAACAGTTTGGCTCTTCAGAAAGAGGGCAAGAAGCAGGGAGGGAGGCAAAAAGTGGAACCAACTCTTCAACTTTTCTTCATGATCAACGATTCACTTGTTCCAGTCAAAGCATAATTTTCAGACTAAGCAGTTCACTTGAAAAGAACCCTCTGATCTTATTCTGCAGAATTCTCCTGGAATTCATTGTTCTATGTTCCTAATTTTACCTAAAAAGACTTCAGTAATTGTGTATGTTATGATCTCACTCGCCTCAAACATCAGTAGGTACATGAATAAATTAATGAAGTCAGTCTTCACCTTGCTTAGGAAGATTCTATAAATGTCACTTTAAACTACTACATCTTATAATATGTTAGAAATTTTAAATAGCTCTATGTCACTTACTTGCAAAATTTGAATAAAATCTTCTCAAACACTAAAACTGGTCCTGTACTGCCAAGTATAGTGAGAGGCTGTCCACCAAAGAGAGAGTAGGCAATTCCAGTCATGGACGCTCCAAACAGTGATTCTATTGCACTCTGAATATGAAACAGAGAGAGAAGTGTGTATAAATTTTCCAACTGGTTCTTTTTTGCAACATAATGATTTATAGACTTCTAAATAATGAAATAAATACATTTTAAATATATTTTTAATATAAAAAATATGTAAAATATAAAAATAGATTTTAATATATATTTATCCCCTTGGAACAGTAAAAAATATAAATACTAACCATGAATCTAGCAATGCAAGTTTGTTTTAAAAAATTCAGATTTAACACATACTATACGACCTTCAGTTGCTTCTCCCAGTAGACCACCAAACGTGATGACAGGAGACATGCAAGCACAGTAGAGAAACAAAAACGATGCCAGACACTGTAGACTGAGAGCATCCCTGAAGTCACTCCAGAAGAATGGAGCCTTTCTTTTTATATCTAAAATCAATCCACCAAAAAATCTAAAAATAAAATAGAAAATTTATGAAGAAGGCTGACTGAACTTTCTTCCACAGAATTCCTTAGCAGCTGCAGAGAAGATACTCTTCCTTAATCAAATGAAATGTACCCTTTAAATTCATCCTTCCCCAGAATAAAGGTTCTGGGAACCCTGTCCTGATAAGCTTAATCAGGAAATTGTTTTATAACAAAAGAATTTTCTTATTTAAAAACTTCATCACACAGGCCCAAAACTTCTGAACAGTTGTTAGCTCCCATGCATAAAGCCCCAGTACTTTTGTGAAATAATTCTTTTTATTTGTTTTATCAGAGAGCTATTATATTGCACATTTACCTACATTCCCACATATAGAGCACATCATATTCCTTGCAAAACTCTTCCTAAATACATTTGACAATAGGATGAAATCTAGGCTAGAAATTTTCATGGACAAGAACTCATATCTTGTCATTTACATTATGCTAAATATAATAAAAAACTTAGAATCAGGCATTCCTTTACAGTATGTAATTAAGTTAAAGCAAATTTCTCACAGCGCTCTTTTTATCAAATGTATCTGATACCAGTCAGCTCTGAGGTAGAGGAGACAGTGCTACCACCTCCTAAACACAAATGATCCTGCAAGCAACCAACACCAGGTTCACCAGCAAAAGTATAACTTACAGACTGGCTGACCATTACCAACCTCTACTACACTACGAACAGCAACACTGCAGGTAGGAATAATAGTTAATTATCAAGAGGCAGCAAAGTAACAAAACTGCCTAGCACACAGCTACCTGCATGATGATACTGCACTAAAGGCAGACACTGACTGCTGATGGGCTTACTTCACAATATATTAAGAATGTATGTATTGTCTTATTTGGGACAAATTCTTCCTTCAGATGTGTGTATGCTGCAGCCATCACAGTAACCACAGCCTCATGTACCAGGGCATATCATGGCTTACTGAGGCAAGAAAAGAAACGCTGGAGCTTCACAACACAGTAACCTCAACAACAAAATATTTGTAAGAATAATTTGTGATAAGCCTATTTCCAACTTTTTCTTCATTCAGAAATAGAAAATAATTGAGTTCAATAGTGATCTGACCTCTATAAATAATAAAGAGCTTTCTGTAATTATAATGTAAATACTCAATTTTTTTTGCCCTCTTCTTTTCTGAAGAAATTCAGAAGTACTATCTTTTTCAGCTTTGTGGGACGCTAATGAGGAATAAGGCCTGAAAAAGATCATGTGCCAAACTGGTCATTTACAATAGAACCAGACCACTATTGTTCTTTTGAAAGGGCAACATCTGGGACACTTATGTTTTCACTAACTTTCCAGTGCGTTGCAATTCTGGTCCAGAGTGTCCTCCAGGATGTTCTGGTTCCCCATGAGCTGCAGTCCCATTTGGTACTCCTGGAATCTTACGCTTCTCCTATCAGGAAGGAAAGATACTTTTCTTAGATTTTCACAACCAAACAAATATCTAGCAAAAAAAATAAAAAAAAAACAAAAACAGACTTCAAAACTTGACAAACTGAACATTTAAATTTTATTGTAAGATTCATCAGCATAACCTCTTCATAAGCAGTAGAGGAGCTGCATAACCAGAAAAAGTAGAAGGAATGGTGGTCTAAGAAATTTAAAGAATTCATCTCAGAAAAATCTTGTTATGAGAAAGCATTTTTAAAGAGCAGTATGCCATGCTGCTTTGATCATTTCTTGCTCTTATCAGGCCTTTGTATTCTGACTTCACTAGCAACTTTGCATAATGAGCAGCACCTTTTGAAAAGAATTATGAATAACAAATTGTACGTTATATGGCTAAAAGTGCATCACATTATTCAAAATGGATTACAACTATCAAAGAATAGAAGAATAGATAATGATTGAAGAGCTTTTTGAATAGCCACCATTCAATAACAGCCTGCACTCAATACTTAGACATAATCATGTAATACTATAAAAATGCCAACAAGAAAAAAAAAATAATTTCTTTTTTTTCACAATATTTTCTTCTTCTGAGTCATCTTCAGAGAAAAACTAAGCACCTCCAGGAGGACACACAACAGAATATTGTGTGTCCTCCAGGAGGACACACAACAGAATATTTAAGCTTTTTTGTCTCTCCTGTTTCAGAAAACAAAGATATAGCAATAAGTTTAGAATAAAAGCAAAATACAGCTGTTTGTAATAATCAAACATGCTTATTACCAATCAACCTTGAAGTTAAGATCTTTAGATCCATCTGCCTTTATTCAGGAGAGACATAGTTTTGAACTACACTGATTGTCATCACTACACTATTTTCAAAACAACAATTTTCTTAAAGCAAAGTAGCAAACAAGAAAAAACATACAATATTTCTATATAGCAACTTTGCTAAATGCGAAGTTATTTAGACTTAATTCTACTTAGCAAAACTTCATCACGGTCTTTAAAATGTACCTGAATTTTACAAGCACAAACCTGAGAGGGAACATTTTTAGGTGGTTCTATTCGGATTGTTGGGTCCCACTCTCCAGGAGGGAGAACTGTAACCTGATCAAGAAACTCATCAATTCCAGACACCAAGTCATTGCGGTCTTTTGCTTTGTAAGCAACGTCATGGAACACCTATGAAAAGCAAAGAGGCATATGTGGGAGGAAAAAGAGATGAGAAAAGAAACACGCCAAATATTTCACAATGGTCCCTTCTCAATGAAGATGCTCTTGCACGTTAGGCTCAGCTCATTTTATTATCTCCTGGCAGCATAATCTGAACAGTTATCAAATGGCGAAAAAAACTTGAATTCTATCTGTGCGTCAATTCAACTGGGCAGTTCCACATTCCAGGTTCTCTATTACATCCCTTCAGTCATTACAAAATGACTACAGCCAAATCAAGAATAAAATTACCTCATCTGTCATCAGAGTTGCAATTGATCTTCCTATCTCATGATATTGTTGCCCTTTACCCAATGGCCCAAGAAGAATAAACAAAAATCTGAAAGAAGAAGTTAAATGAAAATATGTAAAAGGAAGGTATGCTAGTTATTATACATACTACCGAAATAATTATTTGAAAATTGGACTATAAAAAAATCCCAAATCAAGTACCATGTATAATATTCCTTCAAGATCCTCAGATAAACATTTAAACATGAAGCTCTGGTTAAAAAGTACATTTAAATAACTTATAGAAATATATCATAAGTTTCACAATTAGACTTGTGATTAAGACTATCAAAACCCCATTATGTAACAAACCTTACCTTACATAATAAACATATGCAGATATAAACTACGTACAGAAAACATTAATGTTAATTCTGTTAATATCATGGAACTAATGATTTCACTGTAGTTACAGTAGTATTATTTCATTTTTTCTGATTTTGAAGTTACCTCTGAATGAAAATATTTTTTAATTCATCTTTCCTCCCATTAAGACGACTCTAACCTCTACTCTTGGCTTGTGGTTCTTTAAAATGTACAGGATGAGTTCAGATGAAATAATTGGTGTTTCCAGGTTTATAAAAATGCAAAAACAACTTTTTATAATGAAAACTAATAAATTATTTCTAAACCAAGTATTTTGCAAAAAATATCAATTATCCTAATTTTTAATTCCTTAATTTTCTCTAGGCCAAAAATCAAGACATCTGTACTGTCTTCATTGTCATGGGTTTCTTTGTGGGAGAGGTTATGCAGAAAAAAGCTCCTGTCATTTTAAAAATTTAACTCAGTATCTCAGTGACTCATATACACATGTACAAGTAAAAGACCTAGAGTCTTTTACTAGTACATACTAGTACTACCTAATTTCAAAGAAATTAAAAATTAAAGCAAATTTTATACTATTTATCTGACTGTGAGCAAGAATCAGAGTCTGAGCATTTCATCTCCTAGATGAAGGCCATAAATATCTGCAATATAGTATTGTCTTCTGATGAAATTCTATTTTTATAAAAACAGGGATAGAGAAGAAGAAAGAGAGGCAGAATACATGCACTCAAAGCCAAACCAACAAAACAGTTGAGAGGCTGCATAATAGTTAAGCCAGTGAATTTAGATATGGGAGAATTAGATAGACCTTTGATACAAATTAGCCCCTACAGACAACAATGCATTTGAAGATCTTTTTTAGAAGCTTAATATTCGGCTACAAAGTATATTTTAGAAATTAAAACGATTCCTCATAAATTGTCCTCAATGCCAAAATACTTCATGAGAAAAAAATTCATCTAAGAAAAATATAATCTAATAAAAATGTACGGTCAAAAGTTACATTTCCTTTCATGCAAGTATCCACAGAGTTTTAGAGGAGCATATTCACAGCATGTTCTTCATCCATTAACAATCCCTAGCCAATCAAACCATATAATTTGAATTTTTCCTTTTAAACACCCCTTTCACCATTTTTTTCTTCTGGACTTAATTCTGCAGCATCACAAGATTAATTTCAGTTCCAGATGAAAGTTCTACCACCTTGCTTTGCTGCTTTTTCCTAGTATTTCATCTACAGACTTAAGAGTTCGTAAATTACTAATCCCATGCTGTAAACTGACAAACTATATTTTCCACTTCCAAGAAGAATAAATCTAATCACACATTAACAGCATGCGTCAGAATATGCATACACATATTTATGTATGTTCCTGAATATACATAATTAAATTGCAAGTAGAAAGATGTCCTTAACTCATAGTGAGATGAAATTTGCTGAAGGTCACAACATGTGCCTCCAAGAGGTACTTAGGAAAACATGAAAAGAAATAAATCTAACTGTACCTAGTTGGAATAGGAACTTCAGCTAGTCCTGTAAGCAGCACCGCAGGCGATAACCTAACAAAAGCAACAACTGCACGGTCCAGAAATTCCAGCTCACCAACTAAGATGTTGGATGCTTCAGCTCCTGGTGGTATCTTTTTCATGAAATGTAAGTCAACCTGGGAAAATGACATCAAATTATCCTAGGAGTTATAGATAAGGATTTTTGTTTCCCCCCATTTTGGTCACTTACTGCATTATATATTTTAATTTTTACAATCATTTTAATTCTTCAACTTTTACTCCTGTCTTTTGAAAAAGTAATTTTTTCAAAAATAAAGATGTTTCTCAAAAAACAGAAACTGATCTTTTAGTATTTGACTAATATTATCTTAGAAACATAACTAAAGTACTCCAGAAATCACTTATAATGAAAAAAAAAAAAACCACAATCTTGTTATGCATACAACATTAGTCTCCTATTTAAAATTTTTGTAAAAATCATAACAGCATCAACAATTCATAACATAACTAATTGCAGTAGAAGAAATGAAGACATCTAATTTTTCCATAATTAATAATTGTTAAACTCATTAATTCATGGTTTGTAGTTGCCATATTACAATCTCTGTAAGAAAAAGAACAGGCTCCACTACCTCAAATCCCTCCTTCCACTACTGAGTAGTTTTCAGTAGAAGAAAAGTGTATTCCATTAAATATGAAAACAACAGAAAAGCTAGGACCATAATTGTCTCAAGGGAGTAAGCTGAAAGAGCAAAGCAGAACAAAAACTTTGGAGTTTTAAGGCTCTGATGTTGACTTCTCCAGGGGGAGGGTAGGAAGAGACAAAAAAGCAGCTTCATAATGGTATTACTATGTCAGCTCTAGGTATTTGCTTAGGAATGAGCTCATTTATATTTACTTTTCTCAGTGTCAGTTGACAGTTTGTAACAAAAATTGACATGGAGAAATAGAGTATATAATGTATGTTTGATTTCATTATACACCAGTATTGTCTACATTTCAAAATACATGAATTTTGTCATTTGCTTTCCTTTTATTAATCTAAACACAACAACAGCAACCAAATCCAACATAAACTGTTAAAGTGGACCATTTTAATGTCTATCTTCCAACCATCTGTCAGTACTAGCATGCATGGGTTTTGGTAATATTTAGAAAATTGCTTTCTCGCAAATGGCTCTGGCACTAAATCAGAATTCAGATATAATAAAGTTGCCTGTATCTGAAATTGAATTTCTCTAAGATCATAAAGAGATGCCTAACGCTACCCCTGAGCTAATCAAGTGTGGTAACCAACACCTCACAAAGTCTGACCGCCATCAACTCAACCTGAGAGGATGGAGTGCAAGTACTTTTTAAAACTACTTGTGAGATAAATTCTTCTATTGCCCACTCAAATTACAAAATAATTCTTTAGACTTAAATACAACACATAAACAGATTCATTCTGCATCATTTTGACAACTTAGGTCAATTATAGTTGAGATAAATAAAATAATCTTTCAGGCACACATAACAATGTGCATTCTATAAATTTAATAACCTAATGTCTCACATACCACATGCTACAGCTGTCACTTTAAGGTCCACTAACACACAGACCAAAGCACCAAGATTCACATCTTTCAGATATATTTCTCTTGTCTACCAGCAAGTATTTGCAGACAGGTTTCCTGTTGATTGATCAGCTTGAGATTCTAAAATCTATATCCTATTGTACAGAGGCCCAAAAGGTGCATCACATGACCAGAAATGTGCAAAACTGAGGTGTTGTTTCTGCTACCTAATAAAAGCAGAGGTAGCCCTGGAGCGCGTCTGGGGCAATGGCAAAAGTTACATCCTTCAAATGCTTCATCTAATCTATCCACCATACTCCACCATGCATTTCTTATTACAAGAAGTCTTTAGTTGGATAGCCCCCATCACATCTTAAACCTTAACCCTAAATTGATGCATATTCATGACTTGACATTTATTAGCCCCAGAAGGCTTCAATTAAGCACAGAAGTAAATGACTAATGTGGAGTCTGCTCCCCTGCAGGGAACCTCAACTCAACGATTGAAGGAGGAGGGGGAGGGCTCCCAGAGAACCAAGCACAACTTGAAATGAAGACAAACAGAAAATAACCAACATCACTCCTCAGGAAAGCCTTGATCTATATTAATCAAATTTACTTATAAACAGAGTCATAAAGCGTTCAAAAACAAATTGGTTGTTTTGTGTGATATTTGAAAAACAAAATCAAACTACATTAAGTATAGGGACACAGTTTTGATTCAGGAATACCATTTACACGCGGAGCACAGAAATGTTGCCGTGAAAACGGACAGGCTCCAGTCCCTTAATGCATTACACATTTCAGGACACTTGAGGATCACTTCAGTCTCCAGGGCAAGCAGCAGCATAAGAGCTCAGCCAGACACAGTTGTTACACTGCCATTCCCACCCTGCTCACTGGCTTAGCTTGAAGTAGAGGAGTGACAGACCATTTCAACCACTTTCATTGGTCCTGAGAATACAAAGTATTCCCAGAGAAAGAGAGAGACATTTCCAACTACAAACATCCCTCTTTAGGCTACTGAAGTAACACTCAAGACAGCTTTTAGTGATGTGTCCTCACGTTATTCATAAATAGATACTAATACAATCAGCAGTATTGGTGCCATATTCAGATTAAGTCAGCTTTTTGAATCAACTCCAAAATTTGGAACATTAGAAACAGCCCAAGGGAAATAGATTAGTAAAGATAAAATACACAAAGAAGTTAAAGTTGTCTTTTTGGAGAAGATAAATGACATTAGTATGTGGAACAAAATTAGAGCAAGAAATCACAATACTCGAGAGAAAATTAGTGTACTGCTCAACTTTCCTCTCAATCTGTGCACATAATTCCAATTATAACCACTGGGAGTTATGTGCAATAGCACCTTTCAAGTGGAAATTGTACTTTACGTATGCATCTTCAAAGGGATAAATAGATGTATTTAAAGACAGTTTTTTGGTGTTTTTTTTTTTTTTTTTTTTTTTAAAAAGGTATTTAGATTAGAATTTCTGCTAGCAGAAGATGTTTCTTTCATATCCTGACGTTCTTGTTGGTATCTAACACTGCTGAACCTAGCCAAAGATGACATGTTGATTTCTTCTCATGTAATATAACCAGGAAGAGCTCCAGCACTAAACAACTAGAGACTGAAGAGACTGAAGGATAAGCTGTTGCAGCCTCCATTCTTCTTTAATACAAAAAAAAAAAAAAAAAAAAAAAAAAAAAAAAAAAAAGGAGGAAAAATATGCAACTAGATAATGGATTGGATTCTAATCCTACAAAACTCAAAGAAATAGTGGAAATAAGCAAGAAAAGCAAAGAAAAGCACAACTGAAGGTCACATCATCTCCACTAGGTTGTTACAAGCTTCAGTTCAGTATGGCTTAATTTTGAATAGCCAGATTTATTTATGTTAAGCATCATTACCTTGATGTTACAACAATTGCCAGAACAGTTATTTTTAGTTAACAATTCTAATAATACCAGCAAACCAAAATCACATGTGATTTTCTATATTCTTAATTTAAAACATTTTTAAAGGTTAGTCTGCAATTTTTTAACATGTCTGAGTTTATAGTCCCTGCTACCTCTGAAGAGCTATGGTCCACAATACATCTCCAACCCTCTTCCTTTCTTTTCACAGTCTTTGACAATAAGATCTTTTTCCCATCTTCATCTCAGCCATATATCATTTCTAGTCTAGCATGTTCAGTCAAGAATTCAACCGGTGCAAATAGCTACTGCTGCTAGGAAATATCTCCGGCACCAGATGGAGCAATCACATAACTCTACTTTTAGCTCAGTTGCACTAACATTAAGATTCAACAGACTCAAAAGTGCTGCTCTTCAGAATATTGGTTTAAATTACCTTTCTTCACTTACTCAACCTTTGTTGTATTAACGCGTCAGTTGAAGCCATCTATTCCTGTCAGGTCTGTCATCTGCATCTAATGTGACAGTTTGTTTTAGATACATACAGACTTCTTAAATTAGGATTCTCCTTTACGTTAAAGCTGAGAAGCTGTTTGCTTTCCTTTGCTATTTAACATTGAACTGTCATTGCAATCTCCACTACTGAACAGCTAACATCTTTTGTGATGTGTACTGAAGTATCTTGGCTTGCCAGAAGTATTAAGTTATAGGTTTACAGAAACACATTCTGTTTGAGACATCTGGAATCCACAAGTTCAGGTTATAAAAAGCATAGTTTACATTCATGTTTTACTTCTACAGAAAGTACAGATCTGAAAGGTAAATTCAAATTACAAGAATTCTGAATTATCTTTCTACTGAGTCAATTTTCTGTTTGTAAAAATTTCCCGTCCAGCTATACACCTACTATACTTTAATCCAATAAAAGGATATCCACATTCTTACACTGTCATTTCTTACTACCAGTAATTTACCAGGAAAACGAGGAAGTTTTTTGTTGTTGTTACATATAAACATTATTGCAGTACTTGAAAATTTTTAATGTTCAAGTAAAAAATTGCATTTCATAGCTTTTCCTAACTCACATAGATTCAATGTATTTAGAAGACCTGTTTGGTAATCATGAAGCTCCATTTGCCACCAGTGAACATACTTACCTTGCTAAAGTCAACAGTGCTATTTTCTCTGCTCACATCATTTTTGTTCTCAACACAGGCTGGAGCAGATTGTGGGGAAACAATCTGACCTGCTAAAAAAAATACCATTACAGAATACTAACATTCACTTCTATAAATAAAGCAAGATTTAATGAAATAGTTGCTAGAATTAAAGAGTGACATCCATTCCATATCAAGTGTATATGAAACATCTAAACATGATGTTTATTTAAATACATAGAGTAACATTCTCAAAAGGGAATATTTATCACATGCAGCTAAGAGTGGGAGAACATAACTCAGAAAATATAAGACAATCAAAGATACTGAAGATAAGTTTTCTGTATCAATTAAAGCTTTTTGTTTCTTGAGGCACCACTCTTGAATAAAGCCCTGCGTTTATATAGATTTGTTTTGCTGTTTTTTGTGGTTTTTTTGTGTTTTTTTTGTTTTTTTTTTTTTAACTAATTTGAAGAGCTGCCAATTTGGGGCAATATCTGTTTGCAAGATTACTCCTCGCTGAATAAAACAGGAGTACTAATATCCATAAATTTACTCATGAGTAAAACAACTTTCTGATTATATAAATATTACAAAGCCTAGCATAACAGTGGGCTAATATAAGAAATAGACATTTGGGAAATTAAGATGATTTCATCTCAGTATTGAACACTGTGAACTTAGCACGTATAGAACAAATGTTTCGGCAAACACATTTTCAAAAATTCTTGCAAGGATTTAGTACAGTACTTTACAGAAGCTTTATAAAATATCTCAATATAAGAAGTGTTTAAACACACCTCAGACTCATATAAGCCAACTGTAAGTCTTGTGACCAACTAAATTTTGACAGCAAAAGCTCAAAAAGAAAAACAAGATTAAGTAACAACTTAAAACATATTTTACTTAATGCCAGCATTACTCCCATGCACAGCCAGAGGTCACGCACACTGTGATGCAGGCAGTAGGGCAGCAACACAAACTAGCTGGGTTGATGAGCCTCTCTGCCTTTACTCTTAACGCTCTCCCTGGCATGGCAGGGCCTGCTCATAGCTCTGAACACCAAAACAAATCAACAGGAAAAAGTACTGCTGTAGCACATACTCAGGAATAACTGTAGAGTCCAACTGGCCAACAATCAGTATCTTGTGCCCAGCATATATTTGTATCCATAGCAAATAAAGTCTCTCATATGACTAAGAATTTATGATGCAAAAATACTGGTTCTGGCAAAAATCAATCCAAACTTGAGTACTAACAAAGACCATATGTTCAAGACATATGACTATAAAGACAATCCTAAGCTAGGCACATTGTTTGGGCAAATCAAAAAGCCATCATGTACCCTCAGCATCTTTGTTACATCCATTTGTAGTCCAAGTATGTCCTCAGCCACAGCCAGGAAACAGAGCGCTTTGTAGGATTCAAACTGAACAGGACAACAGACTTGCAAGAGAAACTCAGCTGTGGTCAGAAAACTACAGTGTCCAGCTTCTGTGAAAGCTGAGCAGTTCAATATCCTTCTCTAACTCTGGCCACAAATTTTCAGTATAAACACTTGCTGACAAAAAGGCTGATTTTCATCAAAATCAACATTTCATTTCCCACTAGGCAAAAATCTCACACCACAAATCAGTTTTTAGACTTGTAAAGCATGCTGATAGATTATCAAGAGAGATTTCACTTTGATTAGAAAGTATAGGCACAGAATGTTTCAAAAATTATTCGTAAAAATCTTATTAAATGTAAATATTTCAATTTTATCTCAGATTCAGAACAGAGATAAAAACAAAAAGAGAAATAAGGGCTTTTGCCTAGGACTACAGTGAAATAAATGGAAAACAACAGAAAAATAGACATGGCTCTTATGTTACTTAACCAAGCAGTTAAAAATAAGTCAATATCAGAATTTTTATATGGTAGGAATTATGGATTAATTTCAGAAGAACATATTATTGTAACTTAAAGGAATGTATGTTAAAATAATGTTAAAACTATTAATTCCTGAATATAACATGGGATAACTTCCACAAATTGAAAGCCATCAGTTACTAAATATGCAAGATCCTTATAAATGGCTATTCAACTTCTCTGTTTTAATTAGAACTTAAAATGTCACTATCATTGTTCCACCATCACCTTAACACTAAGTATACCCATATATTACTTAATGCCTTATTTTTTTCTATGAAGTTTTTGTAGTTTAAAAGGAAAGATCCCCTAGCATTCTAACTATTAAAATAATTTCTATATTAATATGGGTTCTGTAGTATTTTGATAGTTTTAATAATGTAACAGAAAAAAAAGATATCTTTAAATAACCCTAAAATAGAAGCCATAAAATTTACAGGGAATATCTGTATCAGGAAGTCTTAAGCTTACTTAACTCTTCTTTTCTTCCTTTTAGAGAGTCCTCCTTATTCTAAGATCTATACCAAAGGAAATATTTGTAATAATTACTCATTCTAACATCCACATAATGTTATAAAGATTTTGAGCACCAGAAAGCAAAAGAAATAGTAATTTATGATCATTCTGTTGCTCATTATGGATTTATATTTATAGTTTCTCTGGACCCACCCTTTCAAGAAAATGAGAACTTGAATATCTACATGGAAGAAAATAACTCTGACCACTGGAACATGCATAATTTGTCATAAATACTGAAGTTTTAACACCGTAAGTTTTACAATCATAATTTGAACTGTGAAAATTCCCCTAAGCAGTTACCTTAATAGTCTAAAACGCTAACTTTTAAATGTTGTGTCCTTTTTTTTTTTTTTTTTTTTTTTTTTTTAGGAACTAAAGGAATACATGGTAGGAAATAAAAGTCACAAACAGCAAGAATGTGAAGTTTATAAGAATAACATATGTTCATTTTCTGTGCCAATAGAAGACCTCAGACTTTGATTTTCCCATATGCTGGACTACAACGTAACTTCTACCTTGAGGCAGTAAAAGATGTTTAAATAACTGTAACTTCAGACAGCTTTCTGGATTTCGGAACAGTGAAGGTTTCTGTTTTTCTTTTTAACTTTACTGGATTGAATAACAATCAAAAAGATACAAAGTAGAGAAGATAGCTAATTTCACTTTTTGTTATCCATATAATATGCTGCAATATGCTGCAGAAACACGTTTGTTATGAAACAATACAATCTGCAAAATAACAATCTGCAACCCGATCTCCATTTGATCCTTCAAGAGAAAGTAAGATAAAAAGCAACTGTTTTCTGAAGAGATTTTTATTCCTACACCCATGTATTTTTTGCACTTTAAATAGGTAGATACTACGCTATGGTGGCGCTCTCCAGGCAAAAATGCCTAAAAGACCAGACTGTTTTCATACCTGGTAGCTTCCTCTATTCCAGACCTATGAAGCCACAAAGGTAGCCCGAACTTTGTGTAAAATTTCATGTTGACTTAATGGAGACTTGAGGTGAATAAGAAAATATCAAGGGAGTAGGTCCAGAATTATACTGATGGCTGCCTAGTGAATATATGCATCACCATGTTACACTGGTTTTCCCATTCATTGTTCAATTTGCTAATGCATGTTGGCCAGTACATATGTGCTTTATCCTCAAGTGCATTTTAAGTTCAGCAGCTGGTTGTTTTCTCTGAATGAAGGACACAATTATCAACACTATGATGACCACAGGTAACATCAGATAGTTAAAGGGGAGAGCTGTCACACAACACCTGGACTGAAAAAAAGAAGAAAAAAGAACAATACATATTTCTTTCCTGATTTCTACTAAAAGCTCAACAGTCACCACTGTACCAAATCATCTCTGAAATACAACTACACTAAATTCAAGTTTTCTCCAATTTTACTTTTATAATATCCAAACATCTCCAAATGTTCAAATGAACATCTGAAGCACTATGTACAAAACAAACAAATATAAAAAAAACTATCATCAAACTCCAACCAGGCTTTAAATATCTTCTTTGAAAGACACTCACTGTGCTGAGCTTCATCTAACAAAGACATTCCTATCTTCTGATTTTAAGCCAACCTCGAATTTCAGTGAGGTCATAAGTGAAATGGTATATTGATTCTTTGAACTGGCAGTATGTGCACTAAGTTGGCAAGAATGATGAAGACAAAATCCACCAACTTCTTAAGAGAGAGCATAAAGGTAGCAACATCCCTCCTGTTCTGTTCTTCCTTATTCTGCCCTTGCCAGTTCCATTTTAATACTCTCAAGCAAAATCTTTATTCATGCATTATATGACATAAATATTGTTTTGTTTTAAAGTCTAATGTAATACTTGGAGTACTTATAAAATCTGAAGTTTAAAAGCCATGATTTATCCTGCATGTTTGTCTACATGAATGAAGTCACCTTTTTTGAGATGTCATCAGAAAGTTATTCAGACTTTTAAAGTAGCAGACAAATGTATTATCATTGAAATATCCAGCCTACACAAAAAAGAACTTAATATCTAACGGATAAATTGACGCTGAAATGAGTGCTAATGTTTATCTAAGTATTAAAATGTCAATATCAGAAGTTTTAATTTTTTAATTATATTTTAAATTGGTATGAAGTGTCTTTAATCCAGATAATTTGAACTTCCCAGAGCTTTCACTAGAGCAAAAATTCACACAAAACAATTATGTCACACAAAGCCACACCATGTAAAAATCAGTCAACGTAAGGTCTGTATTTGTTACACTAATGGATATCTGCATTTGCAGATTCAGAACTTCACATTTTGAGATAATGATTAGCCTTGCCAAATGAAAAAAAATTACAGTAAATTAAGTTCACATACAATATACTTTTAGTCTCTAAAATTTAAAGTTTCAGACATTGAACTATGAATATTGTATTTTTTAGTTAAAATACAAGAGGTCTCTAGAACGCAAATGACAAATACCAAGTACAATCTATTCAGATTTTTAAAAAAATCACAGTTAATGGAAAAAAACTGGATGTATCTGACACTTCAAAGGAAATTCAATTGGAAAAAAGTAGTTTATTTTTCTAAACCATATGTATTTCTTCCCATTCAGAAGAAAAAAAAAAAAATCTGATTTGCAAGCCAACTATCACAGTCTTCAGGCTTTTCACTGTAA